AATGTGGGAAACAAACACAGGCCCGAAGCTGAAAATGCGAAGGTGAGCTTCTTGGGGCGTGATATAATTTGCGCCCATGTAGAATTGGGGCTCATGAATATCCACGTTCTTAGTCTTTGGATTTATTTCAATGCCATATACCTTCTCGGTATTATTCTTTTTCTCGGGGTCAATCTCATTCTCTTCGAACGGGTGATCCTCGCCGAGTTTCGCTTGTCGTTCTTTTTCAAGTTCTTTTTCTTTCTGTTTCTGAGCTTCGAGAGCTTCAAATTCAGAAATGACTTGAACGATAGCGTGATCATTCCCCTTTAAGATATACTTTAATACGTATGCGGGGGTGCCGTTGGTGCACACAGCCTCAACGTTTGAGTGACCGTCCCACCATGTGAGCAAAGTCTTGTTGTATGGTACAACATGACGGTCGTTGTAGACGCGTTGAACACTGTCCACCATTTTACTTCCGGAATGGACTGGGGCTGTGACGTCCTTTCCACGTTCCAACCTTTGATAGGCCACATATCCAGGGCCAATTCTGGTTTCCGGGACAATTTCCTGAGGATAGCGCCGGGTGCACTTTCCGTTTTTGTCCCGGCACAGATCGGTTTCTTTACAGTCATGGATCATGTACCGAAGAACCTTGTCATGAACCTCAGCATCCGCGACCGGATCTGGGAATCTGGCCGAGATAAATTCGTCGACAACGTGGGCCGACATTTCTTTGTGCTCAGTCCAGAGGAGCAAGTGAACATGTGGATTTCCTCTTTTCTGGAATTCCAAAGACATGTAGTAGCCTAGGGATTTCCCAAACCACCCTTGCTGTCCTGTCTGCGGAGGCGCAATACGTCTCATGAGTTCGACAACCTTTTGCCGAAAGACTCGGTTAAGAATGTCATACGCATTCTTCGGATCGACTCCTTTATTTCCGCACAGATGGAGGAAATCAGGCCATTCCGAGTTCGCAGTTAATGTTATAAAGAAACTGGGCGAACCCAATGTCTGAGCCATGGCTACGCAGTTCGAGTACTGACGCTGATAGTAGCGACGGCTGTATCGATGACCTGGAGGCATCCTGGTCAGCTTACCAAGCTGGTAGCCTTTGGACTTCTGCTTAAGAAGTTCCGAAAAGTTTTCGCGTACATATTTAGCGTCGACGCGTCGCTTGGGAATTACGTTTTTCTCGTAGTAATCAAAGAGCTGTTCTTCGATTCCCAAGGCTTTTTGACAAATCCAGCGGCCACCGAGTTTATAGTGGTTATAAATTCGATGAACTCCTCGATCTCGAGGTCTTCGCTGAAGTCTATACTTGACTTGCATTCGCAAAGAGCACTTCTTTGCCTTTGGCTTTGTTTTCTTGGGAAGAAGATCGTCCTCGTCGGGCGCTTCTTCCAATTCTTCTATGTTAATGTCGTCCTCGTTTTCTTTCAACCCGGCTGGAAGCGGGTTCAACGCGACATTCACCTCAAAAGGCAAGAACTCATCGTCATCTCCAGGCCGAGGCTCTGGGAGTATGTCATGTTCACCGACATCTCGTAATGGAAGGTGCCGGTGAAAGTATGGCTCACCATGTATAAACAGAAGAGGGTAAAGAAAGGCGTCAAGTTCAGGCATATACGCCTTGTACTTCGCCGATTGGTGACCTCGACTGAACACGACCATACCGGGCGGAAGATTGACATTACCGTTCTCATCGTTTAGATAAACAACGGCATGTTCCGCAACTTCGGGCTTATTAATCTGCCTATCGTGAAGGTCCTTAGGTAGCAACTTTTGCCTTAATTCAGGACTCAGATCTTTTGCATCAACAATTTTGAGCAAGTAATTCTCACTTGGTTTGCCTTCCAAACCAAGGAGTTGCTGCCGTTCAATAATTGTATAATACATTTGCGCCAAGTCGTTGTACTGACGAATGTAATTATAGAAGAACGCTGTTAGCGCATCAAACGCAGCTTTATGCGACATGTTTGTGTACATTTTAGACTTTTTTAGTTGATCACAAACGTCGTCGTCCGTTAGATCAGGGGCAAATCTCAGCAACTGCCCAAGAAGAAGCGTATTCGAGATTCCTTCCGGGTTAGAGACGTGGTAGGTGGTTTGTCCATTAATGTTAACTACTGGTGCTCCGCGTCCAGGAGGATCAGACTGATGCACAGTTTGTGCTCCAAATGCGTACATTTGGTTTAATCGGGGGCTCTCATCTCGATAACAGAGATAGTACTCCTTTGGAAGAGGTTTACCGGGGAAACTCCCTTGTCCCAGTACCAAGTTTTGTTGGAACTCTGGCATGTCTCGAAGGTCTGGCATTACCACCTGGCCTTGTTTGCAGCATTCTTGAGAAGTCTCTCCAGAAAGCAACCATGCCTGACAATGCGGGCAATCATAAAAGAGACCCACGTGATATGGGTGCCGATAATAATAGCCGCTGCTGTGAGAGGCCTGACAGTGCATGGTGGTCCGCCCTTTCTTGGAGGACTTTGACCTTTTCAGTTCTTCTTTTTGAACATAGTCCTTTTGACTCCTCCGTACCATGCCCTTTGTCTGTGTCCTTGGAGTAAATGGGGGAGGAGTTGGAGGCCTTGGTGCAGGCTGCGTTTTTGCAACTGCCATTCTTGGAGGTGACGGCGGACAGTCGGCCTTACTTTCATTTTCAAAGTCTAGGCAAAGCTGATGATAAACGTTATCAGTCGCAGAGCTGAAAAACATTGAATTCAAAATTCGAATGGAATAATTTGCTGCCCTGCCATATGGCCAGAAAACAACATCATTTGGTGGCATTCCATTAGCATATTTTTGCGTAGCTTGCAAGTAAAGCTCGGCATTGCAAACCATGTAGTTTGCAGTAAAATTGCCGTTATCCGTCCAGAAGTACTGACATGAATTCAACGTCACGAAAATCTCAGCTCGCGGATCGGCGCCGGTTTGAGGACAGAAACAATTCTGATAAACTCTGACAAACATTTCATGAAAGTCTTGAGCTTTAATCCCGGTTCTGGCAGGATCAATCATGATGACGTTGGCTGATCGCCTTGTCCTGTACATTACTGCCATCACAAAACGACGGGATGTTAAAATCTTTTTAGTTTTTCGTGAAGGCCGATTTACTATTATCAATGGAATGAATATGGCAGGATTCGACTGAATTTCGTCGTTTTCCGGAGTCCCAATGTTAACTAAACAATAGTCGGCTGGATCGGCAGAGGTATCCAGCGACCATGTTGGCGAAATGAGTCCCAAAGGTCTCGCTGACTGACTTATGATTTGAGCCAGTGGAAAGGTAAAGAGGCGAGTATCAAACCCGTCGTCATCGTTTTGGACCTGCGATATTTCGCATTCCCCGAGAAGCCTTTCTTCGAACGTCTTTGTGTTCGTGCTTACACGGGCAGCGTCTTTAAACAATTGAACCATGTAGCGATAATCTTTCCCGGAATACTTTTCCCGAGCGAATAGTTTATAACCCTCAGAGACTTCTGGAGTCTCGAGGGCTTTCTCTTCTTTAGCTATCATGAGAGAAATGTTAACGCTGTCGAAGCGTTTCATAAGTTTGGCCTCAGCTGATTTATTCCTCGGGGAAGCCCTGGGTTTCTTTGGAGAGGCCTCAATCTGACTTGAGTTTTCCTCATCCGTCTGCCGTTTAGTAACTGATCTCCTTTTTCTTGGAGTTTCTGGAACCGCAAATACGGGACCTTGTTGAACGACAGAAGGTTTTTCTGGGACTTTTTCAACCGATCTAGTCTTTTTTGTCGGAGTCGTCGCAACAACATTAACCTTTCTTTTTTGAGGGGTTGTTGGTGGCAACAGCCTAATATCTTGAAAGGAAGGCCGACCTTGAGGTGGAATAATCGCAATCTTAGACTGTCGAGTAAGTCTTTCCGCCTGTGTGGCGCCGTAAAGCTGGAACTGTCTTGACAATTGTCCTAACAGTAATTCTCTTAACTGACGTGAAGCAAGACCTAACGGTCTGACTTCTCCGTCGTTTTCCGAGCACATTAGGTACAATAATGTATTATGGACAGTATGGAAGCCGCAGCTCACTCCATCATATTGTCGGTCAAATTTCTGACCAATTTCCTCAATGAATAAACAGTCTCTATTGAAGACAGAGTTACAGACACTGTTTAGATACTGTCTGATAATTGGACTGGTCGAGCTCAAAAGTGGACGGCCGTTTATGTTGTACAGAGTATCAATCAAAAACGCTTTTACGACTCCTGTGTCCGAAACCTCGATTATCGCGACTCCGAAGTGGGTTCCATCGTACAGAGGAATAACCAACTTGGCCGGGAGCCGAGGCAATGGGTTAAAGATCACAAAAGATGGATCGAAAACACCGGTGGTCAAAAAATTTTGATATCCACGTGAACTGAGCAAGCCCAGATTGGCTCTAAAATGTGGGAGATACTCCGCAATTCCAAACGTTAAGGCCACTGTGGACGCCATTTCATTAGGAGAGTTCTGAAGGTCTTCCAATCCCATCTGGAGCAAACAGAGATCTAGGTCGAAACCGAACGACCCTAACTGAAAATTACGATTGTATTGCGCTTCCATAAAAGATTCAGGCACAATATCGCTTAGCAATACATAAGACATGCCACCCCCCATAAAATTACCCACATTCAAATTTGCGAAGTATTTGAAGGGATCATAAGCTATGTCCATATTATGATTCAAAGGAGGATTTGTTTCAATCAAATCCTCAAATAAGAATGAATCCATACTTTGGTCGCCAACACTATTTCCAGAGCTATGGAGTATTTCTTGGGTTTGCGTTGTTTGTTTTAATTGTGACCGATGAGAACGCGAAGCGAAACCCCGTTTCTTCCCACTATTTTTCGGCTTGCTGGTTGATGCTTCATCCTCAAGGAGACAGGAATCCATGCTCTGAGAAAGTACATCAACTTGAAGGCGTTCTGAATCTGAGCCGCCATCTAAGCTGTCGACACAACCCAAGCCACTGACATTATTTTCAGAATTTTCAGCAATTTTTTCAGCTTGCTTTGTCTTTTTCACTTGTGATCGGTGAGACCGTGAAGCGAAACCCCGCTTTTTAGAACTTTTTCGAGGTTTGCGGCCTGGATTATCGACAGGATTACTTTGGGTCGGGGTTTTCCTGCTACCGCCACCATGGTGGTCAGGCATTTCAAGTGTCCCCGAAGAGTGATTTTGGTTGTCTAAAACCAATGAATTTAGCCAAATCATGGCTAATTCATCAACAGAAGGTGGACTGCAGCCATGACGTTTCTCAAGGCCAAAGTCGTTTTTTTGATTTAGATGAACCTTTTCAGGTTCAGAGTCAGAAAAAATTCTAAGATTTTTAGTCCTAAAAAATTTTTTGGCAGAGGTTCCCTTAAGGGCTCCCCCATGGGAGCTGGGGAATCTCTGCCTGTACCCGCAGGCAGGTCTTTCATCCTGCCTATACCCGAAGGCAGGACTTACGGGCCGCCTGTACCCGCAGGCAGGACTTACGGGCCGCCTGTACCCGCAGGCAGGTCTTACAGCCAACCCAAACTTGGGTATATGCTCGGCATGAGCGTGGGGGCGGGCATGGAGCCGAGCCGGAACCCCGGATCTTCTGTGGGGGCGGGCATGGAGCCGAGCCGGAACCCCGGATCTTCTCTGGGGGCGGGCATGGAGCCGAGCCGGAACCCCGGATCTTCTATCTTCTCTTTCCATTGTTGTTTTCTGAAAAAAAATAACAATTAGTATTATGAAAGAAAAATTCGCGAAAGACATCACAAAAAGTCGCGAAAAAATGCAAAGTTTTTCAGTCGTAAAAAAAAATTTGCCAGAGGTTCCCCTAAGGGCTCCCCCATGGGAGCTGGGGAATGGGTGCCTGTACCCGTAGGCAGGTCTTTCATCCAGCCTGTACCCGAAGGCAGGTCTTAGGGGCGGCCTGAACCCGGAGGCAGGGCTTACATGCAGCCTGAACCCGAAGGCAGGTCTTATCGCTTGCCTGTACCCGAAGGCAGGTCTTACATTTTGCCGTAACCCGAAGGCCGGACTTACGGGCCGCCTGAACCCGAAGGCAGGTCTTATAACCAACCCAAAATTGGGTATATGCTCGGAATGAGCGAGGGGGCGGGCATGGAGCCGAGCCGGAACCCCGGATCTTCTTTCTTCTCTTCTTTCCATCGTAGATTTCTGAAAAAATTGAACAATTAGTATTATGAAAGAAAAATGCGCGAAAAATATTACAAAAAGTCGCGAAAAATGCTTCAAACTACACGTTCATGATCACGGATAATATAAAGTATCAACCCTCACCCTTTCCTAACAAAAAACACAAATTTAAAACAAAAGTTTATATTATCTTATAAATTTAGGTATAAAATTTTTTTAAAATCGAAAAAAATCATGAAAAAGTGGAAAAAACGGAAAGGAGAACGTCATGGATAATATAATTTCCCCTGTTGAATCATAAAAAACCTTCTCAGAGCAAAAAAACCCCCAAATCCTGCCAAAAAATTAAATTATACATGATTTTAGGTAACAAAATTTAAAATAATTCGAAAAATCTTACAGAAAGACGCGAAAAAGGCTTCAAAATACACGTTAATGATCACGGATAGTATAAAGTATCAATCCTCACCCTTTCCGAAAAAAAAACACAAATTTAAAACAAAAATTTATATTATCTTTTGAATTTAGGTATAAATTTTTAAAAAATCGGAAAAAAATCCTGAAAAAGTAGAAAAAAGGGAAAGGAAAACGTCATGGATAATATAATCGGTCGCGTTAAACCATAAAAAACCTTTTCAGAACAAAAAAACCCAAATACTACCAAAAAATTATATTATACATGATTTTAGGTAACAAAATTTAAAATAATTCTCAAAATAAAAAAAACGGGGAAAACACGCAATATAAAGGCCGTACAACACGTAACTGAGGTAGATGCAGCTTTTAAAACTAAAACTTCGCACATTTTCGACAAAAAATTATATTATCCATGACGGAGGTGGAAAAAAATTCAAAAAAAATGTAAAAAAGCAACGAAATCCACGAAAAAAGGGCGCAAACAGCTGGTACAGGCCATAATACACCTGAACGAAGCCTCAAAAACCAAAATCCCTCACAAATTTATCCCAAAATTATATTATCCATGACCATCAGCTAAATAATTCAAAAAAATATCAAAAAAGGTCGAAAAAAACACGAATCCCGGAAAAAAAGGTGCGAACAGCTGCTCAATACCCTTATACACCTGAACGAACACCCAAAAACCAAAATCCCTCACAAATTTATCCCAAAATTATATTATCCATGACCATCAGCTAAATAATTCAAAAAAATATCAAAAAAGGTCGAAAAAACACACGAATCCAGGAAAAAAAGGTAAGAACAGCTGCTCAATACCCTTATACACCTGAACGAAGCCTCAAAAACCAAAATCCCTCACAAATTTATCCCAAAATTATATTATCCATGACCATCAGCTAAATAATTCAAAAAAATATCAACAAAGGTCGAAAAAACACACGAATCCAGGAAAAAAAGGTAAGAACAGCTGCTCAATACCCTTATACACCTGAACGAACACCCAAAAACCAAAATCCCTCACAAATTTACCCCAAAATTATATTATCCATGACACCCACCTAAAAAAATCAAAAAAGTTGTAAAAAAGCACGAAATCTAGGGAAAAAAGGCACAAATAGCTGCAGAAGAGCACAAAGCAGCTGAACAAAGGTCACAATACCAAAACCCTGCATAAATTTACCAAAAAATTACATTATCCTTGGCGCAGATCTGAAAAATTCCCAAAAAAATCGAAAAAACTAAGAAATCCACGAAAAAAAATCGAGAAAATGGTGAAAATCCATAAAAAAGTGAGGGGAACTGCTTCATCTTCCCAAAGCGCGCTGAAACTTGGCCATAAAGGTTCAAAATCCTAAAATCCGGCGTCAGAAGAAGATTTTTCAAAAAAAAGCCGGGCGCAGCTTGCCAAATAACTGCAGACTGCAGGCCAGTCTGTTTGAAGATAGCGCGGTTGTAAGATATGAAGATAGGGCAGTTTTTCATGCTGAACACAATGGCACTCGCAAGAAGGACAATTCTGATCGTATTTAGGCTCTTTGACCGAAGTTATATCAAAAACCGAAATTTATATTACACATGACAAAAAATTTGAGAAAAAAAAGTTTTCAATGGAAGAAAAGGCAAGAATCAAATAGAAAATAATGTAGAAGATTAAATTTGTGAATTTTAGAGACCATTCGGATCCGTTTTTATGCAATTTGAGCGAAGTTATATCAAAAATAAAATTTATATTGTACTTGACCTCGAAAATTGCGAAAATTTGAGAAAAAAATGTTTTCAATGAAACAAAAGGCAGGAATCAAATAGAAAACATTGTAGTAGATTAAATTAGTGATTTTTTGAGACCATTCCGACCCATTTTTATGCGAATTGACCGAAGTTACAGCCGAAAAAAATTTACATTGTACTTGACCTCGAAAATTGCGAATAACTTTCGAACGGTCGATGATTGTCAATAGCAAGTTGCGTTCGGAAGGCTTGGAATTTCACGCAGAATAGGATGGAATCAAAAAATTTCCAAAAATCGAAAAAAAATTTCCTAACTTTCGACCGGTCGATAATCGTGAATAGCAAGTAAGGTTCAGAAGTCGAAGAATTTTATGCTGAACACGATGCAAGCAAAAAATTTCAGAAAATCCGACGTACAAAGAAGTTACAGCCAAAACAAAATTATATTACACATGGTAATTGAGAGAAATTTTGACTTTCGCTGATGTAAGTAGGGCTCCGGTCGGCTCCAGCCTTCGGCTGGAGCCTCCCGGAGCAGCCGGCGAGCTGGCTCGGCCTTCGGCCTCGCCAGCTCGCGATGACTTTTTATTCAAATAATCTTTTTCGCTTGTGTTCTTATTAAAATAGTCTTTTTCGCTTGTGAATAGTCTTTTTCGCTTATGTAAGCAGGGCTCCGGTCGGCTCCAGCCTTCGGCTGGAGCCTCCCGGAGCAGCAAGCGAGCTGGCTCGGCCTTCGGCCTCGCCAGCTCGCGATAAATTTTATAAAAATAGTCTTTTTCGCTTCTTTTTTTTTATTAAAACAGTATTTTTCGCTTATGTAAGCAGGGCTCCGGTCCTCCCGGAGCAGCAGGCGAGCTGGCTCGGCCTTCGGCCTCGCCAGCTCGCGATAAATTTTTATTAAAACGGTCTTTTTCGCTTGTGTTTTTATTTAAATAGTCTTTTTCGCTTCTTTTTTTTATTAAAACAGTATTTTTCGCTTATGTAAGCAGGGCTCCGGTCGGCTCCAGCCTTCGGCTGGAGCCTCCCGGAAGCGGCAAGCGAGCTGGCTCGGCCTTCGGCCTCGCCAGCTCGCGATAAATTTTATAAAAATAGTCTTTTTCGCTTCTTTTTTTTATTAAAACAGTATTTTTCGCTTATGTAAGCAGGGCTCCGGTCCTCCCGGAGCAGCAGGCGAGCTGGCTCGGCCTTCGGCCTCGCCAGCTCGCGATAAATTTTTATTAAAACGGTCTTTTTCGCTTGTGTTTTTATTTAAATAGTCTTTTTCGCTTATGTAAGCAGGGCTCCGGTCGGCTCCAGCCTTCGGCTGGAGCCTCCCGGAGCAGCAAGCGAGCTGGCTCGGCCTTCGGCCTCGCCAGCTCGCGATAAATTTTTATTAAAACGGTCTTTTTCGCTTGTGTTTTTATTTAAATAGTCTTTTTCGCTTCTTTTTTTTATTAAAACAGTATTTTTCGCTTATGTAAGCAGGGCTCCGGTCGGCTCCAGCCTTCGGCTGGAGCCTCCCGGAGCAGCAGGCGAGCTGGCTCGGCCTTCGGCCTCGCCAGCTCGCGATAAATTTTTATTAAAACGGTCTTTTTCGCTTGTGTTTTTATTTAAATAGTCTTTTTCGCTTATGTAAGCAGGGCTCCGGTCGGCTCCAGCCTTCGGCTGGAGCCTCCCGAAGCGGCAGGCGAGCTGGCTCGGCCTTCGGCCTCGCCAGCTCGCGATGAATTTTTATTCAAGCGGCGAGTGATACACGTTCCTAGGTCAACTCGTACACGCTGAATCCAATGGAACACATGAAATTCCGAAAAATTTGAATTCCGTGCCCTGAGGGCCGATTTGGTCGAAAAATTGCGAAAAGTCGACCGTTGGCGGAAGACCTCGGAATTCAACGACGATCCCAGATTCTGAAAATAATGGAGAACATACTACAGTCTATTGCTAAGAACTACATGAGGCCCGATTTTTGAATTTCGACTTCAGTTTCGAGAAAAAAAAATTTTGATATTACACATGACATCTGATCCCCGGGAGAAAAATTTTCATCACGAAAGTAGAAAACGCGATGTAGCCGTGGTTGATGTGTGTTCAGATGTAATCGAACATGCTGAATCGAATGCCTTCAACAGAATTCCGAATTTCGGCCGTCCAAGTGCACTTTCGGCCGATTTTCCGGAAAAAATCGAAAAACCCGATGTTGCACTTTGATGGTTGGCGGAAAACGCCGGACTTCAGAAGCGATCACGGGACCTGAAAAAAATTCAGCGTGTAGCTGAATCGATTCCTAACAACTACATGGAGCCCGATTTTTGAATTTCGATCTAGTTTTCCCGGAAAAAATTCTGGAAAATTTGGACTTTTTTGGGAAATTTCAGAAAATCTCGAATAGCTAAAATACGAAATATGACACGGTAACGCAATACATGGTTCTAGGGCAACTTGGGCATGCAGATTCAGAATCCGTTGTCAAAATCCAGAAATTCCGTCATCTTGACGGTGAAAAATGGAAATTTCGGGAAATCGCGAATAACTATCGACCGGTCGATTATTGTTGGGGGGTGTAACGGAGTAATGTCATTTTTTTGAGATGTAGATACGAATGGAATTTGAAAATTTTTGATTCCGTTCCGATTGGCGACAAAACGCACTTTTTTGCCTAAGGGCAAGATATGCAAATTTTGAAAATCCGCAAAGTTTCGGACCCCATCAAAGGTGAAATTGGGCCAGAAGCTAAGGAAAAGTGGAGAAATTCAAAAAGTTACAGCCAAAAGAAGTTCAAAAAATTTCATTTTCAAACGGCCGTAATTCCCGCCAAAATCGGCGGATGGGAAATTCTGAAAATTAAAAGTCATAGAATTTCGTGTTCTACCGCTATGCAAAATTTC